GCTTCGCCCTCAGCCTAATGTACAGTCCACTGAGAATCTGCAGGTTTCATTACATACTTACCCCCCCGGGGAGAGCGGACCTCCGCGCCCACACTTCACTTTCTGGTAATGAACCAGCAGATGAAGKGAGTTATGGAGATAACAYTCTTGCCWRRAGAGGAAAACCTGAGATACTCACGGGGTAAYCTAYGCCCSTGACCTGTGCTGTAGCAGTAAGGTCAGGAGGAGGCAACCTCAAAGTGTCAGTTGGTCTCGATTGCATCAAGAACCACGGATAACCTGGTTTTTGACTATTACGCAATCGATCACTTCTGAAAAGTTGAGGTCCGTGAACGACACCCTATTGCTGCAATACAATTCCTATACTCCTGACCTCCATAGTAACCTGGGATGTCAGTAGAAGGGAAACTCAGAATTGCTGGCTATAGTCGTCGGACCGGGTGTGTACCCCTTAGTAGACATAAATCGGATGCAAGTCGATCAGTAGAACTGAAGGACTGCAGTAAGAGATCACGAGTAGGACAAGTAATCTCACCACAAGAAACATAACTAATTATCATCCAGGCTGTCAACAATAGATTTGTTGGTGCTCAACTTATCAAACAGATAAAGAGCCCGGGGTAGAAGGTTGAAAGCCTGGGACAATGGCACTCACTACACAATGTCGGGAAGAGGGAAGATTGCTGACTCTCAGCTAACCCTGATCAGGACATTGAGTGTCGCCAGAATTTGCGCCTACAAATACTAACAACTACAACTCCCACAAGAACGAGAGACAGTGAAGATCCAGAATGTGAATCAACACAAGTGAAAGGAGTTGTGGTTTCCACCTCTCTCATGGATCGAGGGTAGGGTAGGATGAGTTCAAATTTGGTTTCCCTTTTGTCCCTTCATATGAAGGAAAAGGGAGCAATCATCTGAGCCTCATGCCCCTCTAATCCCTGATCCGGGTCAGGATCCTTATAACGAAGGATGCTGCCCGCGCAGTCCCCAGACATACATCATCACACGCAGCCTCAACTGAAACAGCTGCAAATTCACCTGCCTGAGCAGATGAAGGTGCAGCACTGGGGGGAACTGCAGTCCCCAGGGTCTGTTTCAGTTTTTTGACTGACTACCTGGGCCTGGCATGTAAGGGCAGTCCTTCAAGAAGTGCTGGCCCTCACACCTTAGGCAAACCCCTCTCTCCTTTCTTCTTCTCCAGACTCCCTCCTGGATCTTGAGGTCATGCCAGGGGAGTGTGGAAGGGTTGAGAGGTTCAGCTGGCATGTGGACGTCTCGAGGCAGGTTAGGGCGCTGGGAAGAGGAAGGTCGACGTCCCTTATCCTTCCCCTTAGTAGTGGCTGAGGCTGTGGAGGGGGAGTACTTTTTCTGCGCTTGCAGAGCTCCCAACACAGCCTGAGTCACTATTGCTACAACATCTGTCTCAGCAGCAGATCCGGTCCCCCCTGAAGGCACATCAGGCTGGGAATCGGTATCTGATGCTGAGGCAGACCCCGCATGCGTAAAGGCTGCCTTTCCCCTTCTTTTGCCTCTAGGGAAGGCACCTTTCCTCCTGTCAGAGGATGGGGCCTGGACATGGAGCTTGGCCTCCATTTGCAGGGCTGCCCGGCCAAAGGACCTCCAGTCCTTGTGCCCAACGCTACAGAGTGCAACAGCAAACTTCTCAGGCGCTGCCCTGCAGAAGTTGGTCAGCAAATTATCAGGTGCCATGACCAACCCAGGGGTGGAGGTAAGCTGCTCGAATTCAGCAAACAAGGCCTGTAGGGTGCCGCTGTACCGCTGCTGTCCGAGCAATCCTGTCAGCAGCCTTGCAGGCCCTCTCCTTGTCTGCAAACCGGTCCTCCAGGGCCTGCAGAAGTCTGTCTACCCCCAACCCAAAGGCCCAGTCCTCCATGGACTGTTGCAGACTGCTAGAAGTTGAGGTGGCCCACTTCAGTGTGGGCTCTTCTAGCAGTCCCAGAACAGTTGCCACCTTGGTCTGTTGTGCACAGACAAAGCCCCTCAAGTAGGCTCTGGTCCCAGCAGCCCAGTCCCCAACATCAGTCTTGGGGTCATCGCCCCTGAACTTGTTGGGAGCAGGGCTCTTGGGACCTCTGTCTGCTGCAGTCACAGCAACATAGGTGGCCTTTACTGAGGCCTTTTGAGAAGGGGTAGATGACCGGGAAGAATGTGCAGATCCAGCATGGGATGGATGAGGGGAAAGAGGTCGTGAGGGAGGAGGAGAGGATTTTGGCTGCAGCAGAGGGAGCTGGGGAGTAATCAGCTTGGCGGCTGCCAGCTGAGAAGACAAGCCCTGGATAGAGTCCAGAATCTTGGACTGCTGAGCGGACAGCTCGTCAACCCGACGCTCCAGCCGCACAAAACGATCATCCCAGTTTGTGAACTGGAAGCTGGTGATCTTGTGCTCCAGCATGATCATCTCAGCCATATGCTTGGTGATCTGGGCACAACGATCATCAGTGAGCGACCTCTCTAGCTGCTGCAATAGATACTCCCTTCTGGAGTGATCTGTTGCAGCCTCTAGCTCAGCAGCCTCCTTCCGTGCCAATTCAGCTACTCTGACCTGTTGCAGCTTGAGCTGCTCTTCTGCCTCCTTCTTCAGCCTCTAAGTAGCAGTCAAAGGTGGAGGGGGGGTAATGGAGGTCGAAGGTTGTTCACCTTCTGCCTTCACCACCACCTCTACCTGTGGCTGCTGCTCATTTCCCTGATCCGACATTTTCCCAGTTCAAATAAAATCCAAAAATAAAATAACAGAGTTGCAGCGATACTCAGAATCCTGCAGACACACTGGAATCGCTGCAGCAACTCAACACTGGAATAGGTGGGTGTACAGGCAATCAGCGGTCTGGGTTAGAAGGGTGTCTCTGGGGTCAGGTGTCAGACAGACTGAGTCCAGCAAAATCAACCACACGATTTCCTTTTACTGACCCTGGACCACACTGGAGTTGATGATGTTACTCCACTACTCTTCCAGAGACCCACTAGAGTTTCCAGTGCCCACTAGAAAACAAGAGTAATCAGTGGGAATGATAGAAAGTGGTTAGTACCGACAGGAGAGATCAATCACAACACGCGATGCAGACAGATACCTAGTGCCCTGACTCAAACTCACTTTCCGACCCTGATGACTCTGGCGGCCATACCCTAGGGTATGGCGAATTCCAGTTTTCACTGTATCCAATGAAATACTCAAAATCCAAATCTGCGATTTGACAGTACTGACTGTTTTCAATTTGCGATTCTCTGGGGACTGAGAGAACTGAATTCTGACGGACAGAATTAGAGTTATGACTGACCCTAGATAGCACAGGCTAAAAATAGACTTAGCGCAAAACTACAATTCATAGTATCACTACCTTTCGGTACAGAATTCCCTGTTTGAGCCTCCCAGGACAATCGCAATACAGTATGGCAGTCACAGAACCAATTTGGATTAGAAAGAGTCAACAGAGGATGAAATATGAGCAGAGAGAGGTAGGGGAAAGATGGCTATGGCTGTCATGCAGTCTGCGATTTTCATATCCAGTCACTGGCAGACAGATAGGCCATTTTCTTCCACTAATCTACTACTATCTGGATCGCAATACAGGTAGGTGCATGGAACGGACTCACTTTCTGAGAATCTTGCAGGAGATGATGAAGATTTGGCTATGGCAGATGATACCCTTATCTCGCCAATTTCCTCCAGAGCTTCTTCCTGACAATCCCACGCACAGAACTGCTTCAAATTTGTTGATCCTCCTCAGGATCCTGTATCGCTGCACCCCTTTACTCCAGATACCTTTTATCTGGTCTTGTGGCACCCAACTCACCAACACAAAAATATCTCGCCACAGTGTCAGGAGCCGCTGATGCTAAAAATAGCCCCAGATGGGGTTATTCCTCCTAGAGATTGATATACTGCATCAATCTCTATCAGCGCCACCCAGGGATAGTGCCGCTCGGTGTTCCCTGATGTCTTCAGGGGTAATTCGCCACTCTGGGGTAACTCGCTGTATCACCCTCAGGGTTGGCTATGGCGAATTGGCCCTGTACTCGCCACTTCTTGCCAAGCGCCCTGACAGGCTCAGTGCGCTTGTTCAGTGCAGCCACTGAACACTTGAATTCACCGCTGAAAGTCTTCTTCCCTGCTGACTCAGTACTGGGGAAGATGAATCGCCATGAAACTCTCGCCAGTATATCGCCAGGATGAAGAAGATGCCTCAGTGCGCTCAACCCTCGGTGCTCCAATTCCAATCTCGCTCCGATACCAACTGTTATGAACTTGGTTGTCTGACGAATTTTATCGCCACTCACACACAGACATTCTCACACATGCCCATACATGCATAAGAGAAGGGGAGAGAGGAGACAGAGTCCAAACTGCACACAGGTGAAAATAAGCAGCGGAAGACAATCATGCACAAATGGGGAGAGAACACTGTGTTTCTCACTCTCTGACACAACTCCCAACAACCAATCACAAGATAGAACCTGCAAAGATCACAATAAAAAGGGCTGATTTTGCCTGCACTGGGTTCCCGGGCGATTTGCCCAGGTTGCACGGCCGGGCGAGCCAAGTAGCCTACAAGTTTTTTATATATATTTTTGGTACTTCTCAGCTTTAAATTTGTAATTTTTTTCCCTCTTTCTCTTCCCAATGAAGGATTTTTCCTATTTTGGCACTTGAGGACGAAGTCCGAGGAACACCTACGGGGATGTACCTCACTGAAGCTCACTCAGGCTGGGCATCCGGCCTGGGGGGGTGGAGTGTGGGAAGGGATCATTACCTGGACAAATAGAAATCTTTATTTATTTTTTTCTTTTTTTTTCTGATAAAGATAATATCTGGATTTTTACAAAATCAGAAAAATCTTTACTTTATTTCTTCCTCCTCTTTTTTTTTTTTTTTTTTTTTTTTTTTTTTTTCTGATTTCTCTCTTTCTTGTTGCTCTCAACGAATATAACATCTCTCTCTGACGTTTCATGTCGGGAATGGCTGGCTTTTTCGCTTTCAGGGTTTGGCAGGTGCTACAGCCCGTTACGTGACTTTGAGGACGGCACTGACATTGCTGGGACCCTTGTAAGATTTTTTTTATTTTTTTTTCCCTGTTCTTTTTTGGGGGGGACCCCTGTAACTTTGCAAGAAGTGCAACTAACTCTTTTTCTTTTTGCTTTTGTTTTTTTTAGCCACAATAACCAAAGGCATAATAATAATTCCTCAAGTGGCAAAAAAAAAAAAGAAAAATGATGTCATGACTCATGAACTAAGGTGCTTCTCTTCATGCGAGTGTGAAGGAAAAAAGAAAAAGCTTGAAAAAAAGAAAAAGCTTGAAAAAAAAAAGAAAAAGCTTGAAAAAAAAAAGAAAAAGCTTGAAAAAAAAAAGAAAAAGCTTGAAAAAAAAAAGAAAAAGCTTGAAAAAAAAAAGAAAAAGCTTGAAAAAAAAAAGAAAAAGCTTGAAAAAAATAAGAAAAAGCTTGAAAAAAAAAGAAAAAGCTTGAAAAAAAGAAAAAGCTTGAAAAAAAAGAAAAAGTTTGAACAACAGAAAAAGCTTGAGAAAAAAGGGGGGAAAAAAAACAAATAACCTAGGCTACCAGAGTGGCCCGGGTCCACTTGCCCGGCCGGGCCAAAAAGATTAAAAAAAAAAATAATAATAATAATAATAAATCTTATTTTAAATTTGGTAAAGAGTTTCGATGTGACCCTGAGGCAAAAGTTGTTCGGTTTGTTTTTTGCAATGAACCTCCTCATTCAACACCAATGAGTGCCCATATTCACACCACATGCATGTAGTACGAGTTCACACGAAATTCACACTGGAGACGAGAGAGATGAAGACCAGGTAGCGCAACTTATCTTTTCCAGAAGGTATTACAAGAGCAATAAGAGTTCACGTCACCAGTGCTCATCAGCGCGTGCCAATAGGTAACCAATAATCAGCATAAACTCTCAGGTAAGTATCTCTTCCCATCTGCTCTTCCCTCTTATGTTTCTCTCCACCTTGCTGGTCTTCTCCCTAGCTATGACCTCGCTGTGTCTTCTCTCCCTCCATGCATTCACACTCACTATCTACTACTTCATGGATCTACTCTGAATACACTCACCGTCATCCCTACTAATCCCTCTGTAGTCTACTACTAACAACTAGCACTAACACTTCTGCACTGGTGCAGCTATGGCTGCCCTCTCCCTGCCAGCGCTATCTTCCTCTCTCTCCCTCACTTAGCGCAGCACTCTGGCCTCAGCGCTCTGCTCCTCACTTCAGCGCACAAGTGCACCAGCACTTCCACACTTCTTGCGAATGAGCAATCTGCCCGAATGTGAGGCTGGCCAGTCCTTTCGTAGTCTTGGTTTGCACTTCAACTCGCGCCAGCCTCTGTTTCTTGGGGCCTGACTAGTTCCGGTACCACATTCCCACGGCCTGTCTGCTTCTGAATGTCAAGGCCTGGAAGGCTGGAACCTTCTCAAATTTCCATTGGACTGCTGCTGCTTGGGCCTTTGAGTCATGATTTTTCACTTGTGAACATGACGTTTGACTGTGGATAGTGACTCCTGCCTGTGGGTCATGCATGACTTTTGCCTGTGATACTGCCTTTTACTCGTGGAATGCGACTCTTCAATATGACTTTTCATTAGGAAACGTGACTCCTGCCTTTGAGACATGACTCTTGCTTGGTGAATCTGCCTTTTCACTCGTGGGATGTGACTCTTCTGAATGGCTTTTATTTTGAGACATGACTTTTGTTCCTGAGACGTGACTGTTTGCTGGGTGCCTGTTGGACCAGAGTGCTGAGGTACCCGATTGTGACTTTTCGGAGTTTGACAAACTCGGCCTTTTCTTGACTTGGGCATCTGACCCTGAGATCCGAATTTGGGGTCTGAATCGTGGAAGGCCTTTCATTTTCTGCGTAACGTAGGTTTTTTTTTTTTTAATAGTAAGTTAATACTGTTATTTGCTAGGCTATTAGCCGGGCCGCCCTGGTCACCCTATTTTCCCGGGCGTCCCGGCCGTGCAAGGACCAGGGAAGGTCCCAGCCAAAAAAAAAAAAAAAAAAAAAAAAAAAAACCCGAAAAAAAAACTATGTTATGCAGAAAAATAAAACTGAACAACTTTTGCCTCAGGGTCACATCGATTTTTTTTACCAAATTTAAAATAAAATTTTTAATTAATAATTTAAAAAATAAATATTATATTTAAATTTTAAATAAGTTTAATTATTAATTAACTAACAAGTAGTAACAACGTTTTTATGCTTTTTTTCACCGAGACGACATATGCTTGCTTCTTCTGAATAGACATATATTATATGTCTAGGTTCTTGAAATTTCGAACAATGAGAGAACATACTGTGCGAATGCCAATCAGCTCGACATCTACGAACGAGGAGCATATCGACATTCAGTCATCATATGTCTAGGTTCAGGTGGCATTCTTTTCTTGCTTTCTTAACTTTTTTCCTTTTTTTTTTTTTTTTTTTTGAAATCGTGTTTCATATACAAGCTGAGAAATGGCCCGAGTGTATCTGACATTCTCAGTGAAATTGCATTCAAATTTTGAACTTCAAATTTCGAAACTTAACTTTGAAAGTACAAAAATCGGACTTCAAAGTTCAAATTTCAGAGTTGAAATTTTCAAATTTTCAAACTTCTGTTGGAAAAGCTTTTTTAAGTGTGAAAATGGACTAAGTTCATATCTTTGGGATGAAGTTTTCAGTTAGATGCAAGAAAAAATTACAAAAAAGGAGTGCTTAAGAAGTTTTCAACTGTAATTTTACTATTTTAGTATTTTGTATACAAATCAGTTTTTCTTGCTCCACGATTGTCAGCTACATTCAGAAAAAAAAGATTGAGTTTGGGTCTTTTTTCAAGTTTTTTGTTTTTTTTATCAGTAAATAATAAAATTTGTGTAGCGTCGTGTTCGGGTTCGGTGACCGAACCCGAACGTTTGCGACCGAACGAGGACGAGCTTAAAAAAAAAAAAAAAAAAAAAAAAAAAAATTTCTCAGAAAAATCTGAAAAAAAAAAATATGTTATGTAAAATAAAATAAAAAAGAATTTTTGCCTTGGGGGTATGCTCAAATTCGTAACCAAACTCGAGTTGAAAATCAAAAACTAACAAAAAGAAGTTTTTTTTTTTTTTTTTTTTAAATATGTTCGGCCGAGCACGTTCGGGGGGCGTTCGGCTGAACACCCGAACATGTTCGGACGTTCGGAAAAGCTCCGAACATGTTCGGTGCGCTACACAGTAATATACTAATAAATAATAAATATTGGACCTTGTCAGTGTGTGTGTGGATACAGGAGAAAAAAGTTCCACAGAAGTTCTAAACTGTATGAAATTATTTTGCTCAAGAATATATGCAGTGCATGGTATAGAGTACTATAGAATCTATAGAGTCTGGTGCTCAAGAAGATTCTGAAGCGAAGCGATTAATTTTGCTATTTTCTTAAATGTATTCTTTCACCAATAGCCAACAGCTTTAGTTCTCCCACCGACAACATCCCAAACCAGTGTTGCAAAAAAAAAAAAAAAAAAAAAAAAAAAAAAAAAAAACAGACAAAAAGCTTGAAAAAAAGGTAAAATGTTTCTGTGTGCCTTTCCTTCCCACATCTCTTCTCTCTCTCTCTCTCTCTCTCTCTCTCTCTCTCTCTCTCTCTCTCTCTCTCTCTCTCTCTCTCGCGCACGCGCACACCCCGCTCCTCCCCCCTCGCCCCGGAACAATGGGAGACTATGCAAGCTTGTGATTTTGAGGCCTCTGTATGGTGTTAGGGTGTTACTATTTTTGCCTATTTTAGTATTTTACTATTTTGGGATGGAGACTTTTTGGACTATTGCTAAACTCTGCGGGTGTTGGTTTAGGAGGGACGGGGGTGCAAGAGAGTATTCCTCACTTGTTCCATCTTTCGCATAACACCCTTTTCATCTTTATCCGTTTGCGATGAGAGAGAAGAGCTTCGTCAATCTTTGGGAGTGGTCAGGGACATCGACATGCACCCTTCTAACTTCAGGTGGTATGGTGTGTCTGGCTTGTGATCGTTTTTCAAAATCTGAATTTTTGTGCAATATCATGGAACAAAACAATTTTGCAACGTTTTTTTTTTTTTTTTTTTCACTTTTCTCTTTATTTGCAACGAACAGAATGTGGGGAACGTTTGCAGCAGATATTTTCCTAAGATCCGTCGGGACGGACTACCGGCGTATTGTACGAGCAATATTTGCACTAGCGCAGGTAACCTCTTGATGGCTTTGGAGATCCTCTCACCAAGGAAACTGCTAACAATGTTCAGCAATCCGCATGCCCCACCCCACACCCCCTTCTCTCTCTCTCTCTCTCTCTCTCTCTCTCTCTCTCTCTCTCTCTCTCTCTCTCTCTCTCTCCCTGTGTGCCTGTTAGGCCATCTGTGAATGTATCTCTGCTCTGCCTGGCCCCTTGATTCCTCTTGATTTCTCTCTATGTATCTATGTCATGTCTGTGTCAGGTGTATAGACTTCATTAAAGTTCATTTTTTTTTTTTGCTGAAGTGCCCTAGGCTCGTAAAAGCTTGTGGAGTTATGGAAATTGGATTTGTCGAGGTTCATAAATAACAAAACAGCCATCAATGTTTGATAATTGACTTCTAACTTCTAAATGAGATGTTTTTTTTTTTTTTTTTTTAATATCACCATTGGAAACTTGAAAGCTAGGCCGAAGGATAATTATTAATTTGATTATTAACCTAGGCTACCAGCGGGGCCGCGCGGGTCCCGGATGGCCAGCCCGTGCAAGGGCCAAGGAAGGCCCCCCCCCCCCCCCCCAAAAAAAAAAAATCCAAAAAATCCGAAAACAAACTGTGTTATGAAAGTTATGCAGAAAAATAAACTGAACAACTTTTGCCTCAGGGTCACATCGAAATTCTTCACCAAATTTAAAATAAAAAATAGAAATTAAAAAATATTTTTTTATTTTTTTTATTTTTTTGGCCCGGCCAGGCAAGTGACCCCGGGCCACTCTGGTAGCCTAGTTATGAACACAAAGATTTTGATGACTTATAAGCTGTCTTGCTGTAAAAATAGTAGAGCGAAATTTCATACGTACAAGAAAAATGCTTGTACGCTTTCTTTTAATTAATAATCTAGAGTCCAGACCATTCAGACCACCGCTTTTCTTCCTGCTGGCATATATATGGATTTTCGCATCCAATCCGGATTGGTTCAGCCTAGCATATGGTTGCGGACTCTGAATGATACTATAGAATCGTATAGATCGATATAGTAGTACCATGATCGACTGTGTCAAAGAATTGTACCCTTAGGATTTAAAGTTTAGGGTTTAGCGTTTAGGGTTTAGGGTTCAGGGTGGGTTTTAGGGTTTAGGGTTGGGCTTGGGCTGTGTGTGCACGTGCTTCGGGTTTTTCAACTTTTCTGCTTTATATAACTTTGTAAGTTTACAAGTAGATTGGCACATGATTTCAACATACTCCTAACTGTGTAGTAAAATACTGATAACTTCATAAGAATGATATTCAACATGAATTGCTCTTCATGTGGTCAGAATCGTCAGATGTCACATTGCGATGCCAGTCAAAAATTGATGGCGACCAGGCAAATAGCTCAAGTACTGTGCAGCAAGCAACCACACATCAGGAGGACAGAAGTGAACAAGATCCTGGTGGGGGGTCAAGGGGTCTGGGGTTCCAGAAGTGGGCACCCCCAACCACAGGGCCGCACTCGCCCCCCAGAAAAAAGATTTTTTTTTTTTTGAACAAAATCGAAGGAAAAAAATTAGTGGGGGGCGCACAGTAACGGCGCACACCCCGTCGCATTAACAGCACAAACCTATTCTTCCCCTACCTCGGGGACTCCCCCCGGGGACACACCGGCCCCTGGTGGGGCTGGGGTAGCCATCAGCACGGGGTTGGGGCTGTCCGTGGCATGGGGGCAGGGGTGGGGCCGGGGGCGAGGATCG